GTTCAGATTGAATACTATCCACCCCTTCATCACAAACTTAGTATCACATCTAATGCTGTATTTTCCATTATGATATACCACATACTGGTTCATTACATGTCCCTGCTCTAGAAAGAAGTAAAGCCATACAATAAGATATAATATTGAATAAATCCATGACAGACTATTTCAAGGCAAAGATGTGCCAACCTTGAGATTCATATATGTGAGGGCTTCATTTACAATTTCTTGCTTTATTAGTTCTCCGTACCTACCTCTTCTTTTGCGCATCTGTCAATGAACCATATCAACTTTATCTCTTCTTGTTTTCTGCATGATTAGACGATGTGCACAAGTTAATCTAGAAGTTCAAAGTATAGGAACTGACATGTATGGTAGGATTGGCTACTGCTTTTCCTCATATGGATCCATGTTAATTAACATATATAATTAGCAATTACCTGAGCAACTTTTGCCATGTGCTCTGAACTGAACCTTACAAAGCTTGATTTCTCCAGAAGAACCTAATTCTCGAGTGCATTATGTTTGTAAATTATCTGTTCTTGGATGATTTTGTTACTTTCTAAAATCTATAACAAACACTGAAACTTTCTTTTCCAGCACCAGAAAGACCAGACAGCACATCTCCAAGACGATAAGATTGTTGTATTTTGTCTCTTGGACCTCTCTTGATGCCGGTCAGTTGGATGCCTGGTGCAAGTGTTGGTGCTCCTATCTGCCTCAGTTCTCTTCTTGGGATTCTTTGCTTTTCGTTTCTTACTTCTTTAATAGTACTTTCTCATTTCCTTTTCCTTATTTTGTATCCTATATTAGTGCTTCTTGAATTTGTATCCCACATTGGTGTTTCTTGAATGTTACATATTATATCTTGGTCATGTTTCCCTTTCTTTTGATTATTGTTTTCCCCTATCTTTTTCTTATTTTTGTCTACCATGATATGATATACACAGTAGATAAACAAAAACTTAAAAAAGAAAATCACATACAACCAGGGATGGAATTGAAAATTTTGCTTTGAGAGGGGCACCTTTCAATTTCATGCACATGAGAACTTTGAAGTTTAAGACGAAAGTTTTTTGAAGATTTTTGCGGGGCCAAAAAGTTTAATTCATAGAAGAAATCATTTTTTAAAAAAAAACTCTCAAAATTCCAAGGACTTGGGAGAGGGGGGCAGGTGACTCCACCCTGTTCCACTTTGTTTCCGTCCTTGTGTGAAAAAAAAAATCAATGTAGTTAATTTCAAACCGAATAGGGATTCGTCTAAAATATTGGATCAGGGTCAATTGGTTGGATCGATCGAACCGTTCTCAAAACCCGCTGACCCAAGATCGTGTTTTGTATGATTTTGTCCGATTGTTGTACGTGTTCAAATTTTTGACATACAAATATATTTTAATGCTATACTAAATGCGTTAGATCCATGTACAATAGAGTGATCATAGCAGCCTAATGTCATTCCCTCTATGTCCATTGCTTTGATTATTAAGCTAATGGCCCTGTCAATAGATCACTGTAAAACTTCAGAAATAGCCCACAATCCAAGCTTCAGAAACTGAAAGTCATGCAAAACTTCTTCTTTCCACTCCTATTTGGTAATTCATCTCTTTTGCACCTCTGCATCATATTGCAAAATCAGCTGGCCAATAATCCAATTTTACCTGACCTACCAAAGTTTCATAGGGAACCGTCCTTTTAGCTAAAGTACAAGATATCAATGCCGGCTTTACCATTTATGATTTAAAAAAACAAAATGCCAAATAATCAAACCTACAAGTTAAACAACAAAGCAAAAACAAGTATCCGCTTTTAATTCCGGCCCATTGCAGATTTCAGTCTCCATTTCCAAAGAGATAAGAAACCTACCAATATTTATTTCAGAGAAGAAAAGGGTTGTTTTCTTTCTGGGGAGAGGATTTCAGAAAATGGCAGAGGAAGAAGTGAGCAATAAGCAAGTTATACTGAAGAATTATGTCAGTGGTTTCCCAAAAGAGAGTGATATGGAGGTGAAAACGATTGCTTTGAAGTTGAAGCTTCCGGATGGAGGCGATTATTCAGTTGAAGCATCAACTGGTATTTTTCTTGGACTTCAAGATCAGAAAATCTGTTTTCGTAAACCCCACTTGTAACTTGAAGATCATTAGATCTAGTTTCTAAACAACTTAAAGAGAGAGAGGGTTTTTGCAGCCCCTCACTCCTGCTCCATTGCGCCATACAACCCCCAAAAAAAATGAGGAGAAATAGAAGAACAAAGATTATGGCATTACACCAAAAAAAGCATACTTAGTCTTTGGAACAAAAGCAACGCATCAGTATCCCTTAATTAGTTAATCCTTAGAGCTGTGATGTTTATCTATCCATATAATTTGACAATTTGGGGTTTTAGATTTTGTTTCCGAAATTATTCTTGCCAGAACACAGTTAGGACTGACTACTTTATGTCTCTAAATTCGAATGCTTTCTCAAGCATTATGGGTGAATTCTTAGTTTATGATGGAAAAAAAAAAGAATTCTACAACGAGGACGATTCTTGGAGTGTGTTCTGCAAATAGGGGTCTTCGCATTCGGGAAATGCGAGCTCACTGAGCTCGCATTCCCCGAATGCGAGCTCGTGAGCTCGCATTCCGCAAATGCGAGCTCGAATTGGAGCTCGCATTCCCGGAATGCGAGCTCACTGAGAGCCAAGACAAGGAGGAAATCATGCAAATATTGAAAATACTTCATGCAAGATGGTTCGGCAGCAGGCTCGCGGCACAGCCTTTATGGTGTCTGATGTAGTTTCCTTTCATCCGACTGCAACTAATGACTTGAACAGTCAACACTTAGACTATAGTAATAAAAATTCTAAACATTTTCCATCTTTTAGCCGCAAAAATCCTTATGTTTAAGCACAAAACAAATTAGATGAAAGGATCATGCGAGCATCAAAGAACAATTTTTTCTTCAACAACAATGCTTCTGCAAATTTCGATGCAGAAAAATCATGCAAAGCTTCAAACAAAACTAGTGAACCTATCACCCCAAATACCCCTTAACACTGAACACTTCAAATGAAACCAGGGTTATTGATTATAAACACAAATCTCAGCAGATCAGAACTTGCGGCCAAACAAAGACAACCAAACAGCAACTGAAGTAGATAAAGTTTCAAAGCCGCAAGTCTGAACCAGCAAACTAGGAGTTCATGCAAAGAAACATTAAATTAGAGCTCGCATAATGCGAGCTCAATAAGTAGAGCTCGCATTTCGCGAATGCGAGCTCTATTCTAACCTCGCATTCGTGAAATGCGAGCTCTACTGAGCTCGCATTTCACGAATGCGAAGACCCCCCGGACGGAATTCATTACCAAAATCACCTCTTTTGTAGAATTTTTTTAAAATTCATCACAAAATTAGAAATTTCTCCAAGCATTATTGAGGATATATATTTGACAGTGATGTTAAGGGTTTCAGTCAGGAGCAGAATTTAATTGCCTTGAATTCCATTATGCAATACAATTACATTTGGAACGAATTACAACTTAGTTCTCCCAAATTGACTATTCTTCAGAGCATATCATCCAAGTGTTTTAGTTAATGCTTCTCATTCTATTGCACTCAAAAGTCAAGGGCGTGCACCGGCTGTTGATTTGCTAACGTTATTGCTGTATTCTTCTTCGTCTTCTTCTTTAGCACAATAATTGGTGGTACCCAGCTGCTTGGTACAGATTTGACATTGTAATTAGCTATTAGCCTCTAATTTCCATAGGAAAAATTGGCTTCCTGGAGAGAATCCTGGACTTAATTGGTGGTACCTAGCTACTTGGTTCAGCATTGACATTGTAATTAGCCGCTAGCCTCTAATTTCCGTAGAAAAAATAAACTCCTTGGAGACTGTCGAGGCTGCTTTTGAAATTCAAGAAGTTGCAAAAAAGTTGTGGTTTGATCAAATTTTGGCATGAGCAAATGGGCCTTGATTTTATTGCGTTAGATATGGTTTCTTTGAGTTTGGCTATTGAGATCATTCTTCAATTTCGCTCGTACTTAGATAGACTCGATTTTTGCAAATTCAATGGTCCAAATTGTGCTACACCATCTTATCAAGTGATGTGACACAATTTGAACTATCAAATCTTTGAAAATCAGGTCCATCCAAGTTTTGATCCTTCAACAAAGAACCGAAAACAGTTGGCCGCCTCGTTGCAACTTGGTTATTGGTAATTACACCTCAGCTTCTTTGTGGGTGGTCCTCTTATCCCATTATATTTTTGTACATTTTTGTATCGGAATTAGTTACCTTTGCCTTAAAAGGAGAAGGTACCCGCTTTCTTGTGTACTTTTTCTCCCTTTGTTGCCTTAGCGGCTCCAAGCCAGAAGCCCACCAACTTGAGTCTATTCTTGGAACATTGTAGCTTTCTCCTTCTCCTTGATGCTTAATTGCTATAATGAAATCCGAGAGGGAGCATGTGTGATTGTATTATCACCAATTCCACAATGCATCAGCGCAAATACGACAATCAAAATTTTCACATAATTAAGTATAAAAGGCAATTTTGCAAGTTTACAGTCAAATAATACCGTTCAGCGCTTAATAAGTACTTTTATGAATGATTCTACTGGATGAATTGCTCTTGAATAAGTCACCCCAAGTCCACTTTAAAACTTTGGGTTCGGTATTCACTTTGATGTACTTATAGCTTTGAAATGACGAATCATGACTAGTTAGGGAGTTGAACAGTGCTACTTAAAACTATTTGCATATAATTAGGCATTTCAAATTTTCAATTAACATAAGTTCTAGACTGATTAAGTAAAACCTTAAAACACACCATAATATAAATTTGACCAGATAAGCATAGTATGCGAAAGTTCATGTGAACATATTGAACCACAAGGACCTCCCACAATATTTCTACCTCAAACATAAGGAGAAATAACATTTTGGGAAGAACTTAAGCCTTATGCTAAACTTTCTGGCTATATTACAACCAGGATAGCAATATTTAGAAGTTGGTGGCAGTTTTCTTAATTCCACATTCCCATTTCCTTTCTCTTCTCCATCTTTTGTCTTGATCGCTTGTTCAGTTCAGCGATTTGCCTTTCCCACACCTTATTTCCCATGGAACAACTCATCCCATGTCTTGTTCTTCCATCCACATCGACCAAACTAAGCTCATCATCGTACAATTCTCGGGAAATTGGATCAGACAGTGTCTCGTATGCCATTCTCAGCTCAAGAAATCGCCTTGTGGACTCTTCCTTTTCCGATGGAGGGCAAGCATCAGGATGGAACTTGAGAGCTTTGCATCTGTAGGCATTCTTGAATTCGTCGAGACCGACAAATTTGGAGAAATCAAGAGAAAGTACCTCAAAAAGTTGGCTGCTCTTCCAGTCTGCACGGTTCTAGCAGCCTGACATGAGATTACAGTTCTGTGCTGAAGAAATTTCTCCTTACAGCTTCCTTTCTGATTGAATTGAACCGTTTTTCCAAACCGAATACTAATCCCACTAATTTGCAAGGATGCTTCCATACTATAGTTTTGAGACTGAGAAAGAAATGAAGAAATGTTTTCTCTAATTTTCACTGGAGCTGAGAGCTAGAAGCTACCTAGTATGCATTATATAGACCAAGGAGGGTAACATATGAGCAATTAAATAAAGTTTTAGTGGGCTTTGTAGTATGACTTTGGCTTCCATCGCTTTCGTAGACAAAATTTTGTAAAGCAAATTGTCTCAAGTTAGTGGGAAGGAAACTAGTAAAATATACTAACATAAAACAAGATCTTTGTTGAGAAGGTAAAATAAGTACACAAAACTTGAAAAAAAAAAGAGTAATTATATATATATATATATATATATCACTGGTTTTCTCAACACCCACGTACGACTGGGAAATGCCACATATTTACAATATTCTTTTCTTAAATTAATGTAGGTTATATATTAAATTTTGAAAACTTTTATCTAAGCGAATCTCACATTTTATTGAGTTTTCTTCTTAACATATGGGAAACTTTGGCAAAGGAAAATTACTACGTCCATTACCTTTATTCCTTACGATTCCCTCATGGCTTCCTTGTACTTTTGTATAAAGATCGCATGACATCGTTCAAGATTTTTAAAATATTCACATAAGCCCCTTGTAGTTTTATATAAAGCAGAAAAAGAACCGAAAGTATCAACATTGCAATGATTGATCAAAACGTGCTCCAAAAGTGCATTTGATCAAATTATAATATCCATTTAACCCTTCTATAATTTTGCATAAATATCTGCTTAATTCTCTCCTGTGAATTTGCATAAATATCTGCTTAATCCTCCTATAATTTTATGCAAAGTGATTAGGCTCTTATTCAATTTAATGCTTAAGTAAGGGTAACATTGGCACTTCAGCTAATGATGCTACAAAGACTATTTTTCATGAAATTTTCATGTTAAATAAAATCAAGGGGATTATATGAATATTTTCAAACCTTAGGGGGTTATGTGGTATCGTGAAAAAGCACAAGAGGTTATGAGTAATTTACACTTTTTAATATGACTTTGGATGAATATAGAATGGCCAAAAAGGTTATTAAGTATGGCATGGGTCAATCGCTAAACTTTTTTTGTGACCACAAAGGTTATTAAATTGACAGAAATGGCTGAGCCCAATAACGTGGGCTTGTAAACGAGTGGGGGGGTGGGGCATTAAAGTGGTTGAATGGTGTGTTGAAATTAGGTTCAAGCCATCGTCGGGTCTTGGGTCGCTATCTCCTCACTCCCAAACCTCTAGCCCACCACGGACTAGATAAGCACTTGAAACTGACAGAAACGAGACAGCGAGGTCATTTTACCAAATTCTACTTGTAAAACAATTGGCTGCCAAAGGTCATTTTGCTAAAAGGATCGTTGAATTTTAATGATTTACCTATTACTTTACCAATAAAATTTGATAAAATAATCTCAATTGCCCATTTTTGTGACCTTTGTGGCTACCAATAAAGTTTTATAACTGATCCGTGTCATGCTTAATAGTTTAGTCACCTTTCAATCTTGGATTAAAGTCTCACTGTATTTAGTTTCTTGCTCTGTCCTGGTTTCCACACCCAAGCACACGTCTTAATCTTCTATTGTGGCATGGCATCGTTTACGTAGATTGGACTTTTAGAAGCAACTTGCATGTCTTGGTCCTGCAGGTAGGGCACACATGTACGATGTTTTGCAATTGTCTTTGGTTGCTTAGGGTCCCGGAGACAGGTACATTGGGTTCAAGTTTAGATTCAATTTATTTATGTTGCCTATATAAGAAAAAATAAAATCCTATTCAAGTATATACAAGTCGTTGAAAGATTCAATTTATGTGGTTGGGACATTTGTCAGCGGATAATGAATTTGGTAATTTTGACTTTGATTTCTCCTTTTGCTCCTTCCTTGTAAGGTTTATAGTCTCTTCTGACATTCAGATTAAAAAAAGAAGGGTAAATTACATTTTACCTCCTGTGATTTAGCATTTTTTTACATAACCTCCTTATAGTTTCAAAAACTATATATAACCCCCTCATGGTTTGGATTAAAGTGTCAAAGTGACGAAAATAGTCATTCGTAACAGAACTTCTAGAAATGTCGTAATTACCCTTATAAATACATGACACACTAATCCCGTGTGATTTTTATATTTTACTATATAATCCCCTTATGGTTTAATATTTACCATATAACTCCCTTATGGTTTTCAAAATATACACATAACCCCCTTTAGTTAATAAATAATTTTCAACTTTACATAAGGGTATTTTTGACATTTTAGGTGACTCCGTTGCCAATAATCATTCCCGTTATTTTGACACTTTAATCCAAACCATAAGGGGGTTATATATAGCTTTTAAAACTATAGGGGGGTTATGTAAAAAATACTAAACCAAAGAGGATAAAGTGGAATTTGCCCAAAAAAAAAAAAAAAAATTACATACAAGTTGGCACAAGATATTGGTTGATTGAATACAAGGAAAGAATACAAAAGCCATGGTTTACATCTAAGGCTATTTCCTGGACTTTGTCAAGAATCACTGCGACAATTTAAGGCTTCATTTCTAGTAGAAGAATTATCTTTCAATCGATAATTCCACTGTTTTTTTTTTTTTTTTTGAATTGCATATCAAATTTACCCATCTCGGGTTTGACAACAAAGGACATCCATGTCCTTCGACAAAACTCCCTGAACAAGGTGAGAAAAGAAGCAGTTAATAGAGCTATAATTGAGTGAAAAAAATGACCAGACTGAGTTTTCTCCCCATTAATGGATACTTTGAATTGTGTTACTGTTCTCAAATTAAACTGTTATTAGTTGGATGTATTTTCTATGATTTAACTTTGAAGGCCAAGGTGGACTCCATTGGTGACTTACACATCCTTGATTGACTTCTTCCTATTTAAATGTCCATTCATACAGCTACCTTGAAGGCAACAGATGGCTCAATAATTGTTTCCAGAAAGGAACCAAATTGTGAAATAAAAATCTGTACCATGGCAACAGTTAAAAGGAGTCATAATAGAGGGTTTGCTGATTTACACGAAATTAAATTGAAAAAAATGTTTTACATGTAAATTAACATAAAAACAGGTCTTCAATCTACCGTCCTTTTCTTCTCGCCAATCAACAGTTTCCTATTTCGCTGATTCCAAATAAAAAGAAAACATAACCATATATAGATCACAATTCCAGCTAACATCAAATATTGCTAAAGTATAGGCTAAAAATTCTTTCTCTAATACGTAATAAAAGTTATAAATGTAGAACTCAAAGGAATTAAAGACAAAATAAAGATTCATCAATGGAGAAAAGGTTTTCTTCTACCTAGTTTCTTTGTGAAATTTAGTGTTACAAATTTCTGTACTTTTGTGTGCTTCTGTACCACTTACATCAACAAATTCTACACTAATATCAAAGTCACGGAAATAGTCATTCGCAATGGAACTTTTAAAAATGTCGAAATTACTCTTATAAATATATGATACACTAACTCCATATGATTTTTATATTTTACCATATAAACCCCTTATGGTTTAATACTTTATTATATAACCTCCTTATGATTTTCAAAATATACACATAACCCCCCTTGATTAATAAATAATTTTCAACTTTGCGTAAGGGTATTTTTGACATTTTATGTGACTTCATTATAAATGACTATTTCCATCACTTTGACATTTTAATTCAAACCATGAGGGGGTTATGTATAGTTTTTGAAACCACAGAGGGGTTATGTATAAAAATACTAAACCACAAGGAGGTAAAGTGTAATTTGCCCTAGAAAAAATAAACTCCCTAGAGATCGTCGAGGCTACTTTTGAAATTCTAGAAGTTGCAAAAAAGTTGTGGTTTGATCAAATTTAGGCATGAGCAAATGTGCCTGTGAGTTTGTAGGAATTGAGGTCTGATCAAAACCACCACTATCACATTGAACAATAAAGGGGAGAATCATATTTGCATATTGCTTGTGGGAAGCTCTTATATAAAAAAATATGCACTAATGATTTGGCAATAATATCTTGTTGTTCAATTGATTTTGAGTATTTGATCTAATGGGTGGAAGGTGACATTATTGCTGTTATCTTCCCAAAATAATATAGAATAACCATTTCATACCTCATAATGTGACAATTATAAGTGAGTGGCTTTTTTTGGGATATAGCATTTATATGTGGTCCATGTGTTGACAATGATTTGGTGAACAATATTTTGGCAACACTTCAGCCGTTGGATATGGTTTCTTTGAGTTTATCTATTGAGATCATTCTTCAATTGACTCGTATTTCGATAGACTTGATTTTTAAAAATTCAATAATTAAAATTATATTACACTATCTTATTATCAAATGAGGTAACACAATTTGAACCATCAAATTTTTTAAAATCAGGCCTATTTAAGTTTTGGCCCCTCTACAAATAAAAGAAATGAAAATAGTTGACCGCTTGGTTTCAACTTGGTTATTGGTAATTACACCTCAGCTTCTTTGTGAGTGGTCCTCTTATCCCATTATATTTTTGTACATTTTTGTATCGGAATTAGTTACCTTTGCCTTAAAAGGAGAAGGTACCTGCTTTCTTGTGTACTTTTTCTCCCTTTTGCAAGTCTTGTCGTTCATCTCTTCCCCTTCTTTACTTCCTATTTTTCACATGGTTCAGCTATACATGTTGGAGGAACTTATAATTGTTAGGATATCAGGCCAACTATTTGAAAAGAAAAGACCAACAATTTAATTGAAAACAATATCTAGTATGAACAATGAGCAACTCACAAGAATTAACGTGATTCGGCTTAATCACCAAACCTACGTCTACGAAGAGGAAAACTTGTTCTTACTACGAGAAAAAACGCCCCAAGATTACAACTTGATTCCCAAGCCCTAACTCTTGTATAACCATCTCACCCACTAAGAACTCTCTCATTCCTTTCTTGTGTCTTTGTAGTATGCCAATCTACCTATTTATAAATAACATTATTTGGCCAAAAAAATCAAATAACAATTGGAAACCAATACTAATTCCTAAACTCATATAGAGTAGGAAATAACATCTAATTCTAAACCAAATAGGACTTTACTTAACTACTACTTCAAGCAACTAAAATCTAAATAGGAAACTAGTTACTTTTCACACCAAATAAGGATCTTGACTAAAAGAAATTAAACCAATTTCCTAACAAATCTCCACTTAGGCGAATATTTCTTTAAGCAAACACAGCAAACCATCCCAAAAAAATCCATTTGCCATTTTCCACCAAATACATTGGTGCCTAGCTACACACCCGAATCAAGAAGGTCTTGTTTTCCACTGATTCAATCGGCAAATAAACGTGTGTAGCTAGCCGAGTCCAACATCTAGTTGACTCGTGAGAGGGGTCTCAATTCATCCTCTCCCACAGCAGGACTTTTCCTCTCACCACCATTTGTAATTTGAGAGCATTCATGGATCCCCTTCCGTTCCCAATCCATTGAGGTATTCAAATGATACAAATTACCATACTTCTTCCCCATCAACAAGACCGTCTCACCATGTGTGATTTTCAAGACTCCACCTGCAGCGAAAAAATGGTAGCCTTCGGAGTCTAACTGGCTCAAAGAAATTAGATTCCTTCGTAATTTTGGGACATAAGCCACACCACCAAAGAACAAATCTCTTCATTCAATATTTTGATTTTCACCACTCCAACACCTTTGACTTGACAAATAGATTCATCACCCAAGGACATAAAACCTGCCTTCTTTCTTTGGAAAAGAAAGAAGTATTATTACCTTTGAAAATTGTGAAAATATCTCCACCCGATGCATATCCAACAACACCATCATAGTCATTCTCATCATTTTTTGTTTTGATGAGGGCAATATCTATTGATATGGCCAAACTCATGACAACCAAAGCACTGGATTCCACCCTTTCTCTTGGCCTTTGAACCACCTGCCTTAGATTCACCGCCAAATTGTTTTCCTCTTTTATTCTCACCTCGAACAATTAACGCAGCTTCTTGTATCACATCCTGGTTTGCCTTCCTTTGTTTTTTATGATCCAACAAAGAAGATTATACATTCTTGAACTCTAAAGTGTCCTTCCCATACAATAGGGTCGTCACAACACTTTCATAAGAATCAGAGATTGAGGTAAGAAGTAAAAGGGTCTTATCTTCTTCCTCAATATCCACGCCAACCTTTTGGAGTTGATCCAAAATTCTGTTGAACATATTCATGTGATACATGAGACTGCCACCCTCCTCCATCTTTAGTGCATAAAGTTGTCGCTTTAAATGCAACTTATTGGACAAGCTTTTAGCCAGATAAAGCTTTTCCAATTTTTTCCAAAGGTCTGCTGTAGAATCTTTCTCATCTATCACATTGTTTATGATGTTGTCTGCCACATAGAGTCGAATCGTGCTCTCACACCTTGCGTCCAACTCCTCAAACTCATCATCCTTCATGCTCTCTGGCTTCTTGTTCTTTCCATTCAACGCTTTTGCCAAACCTTGTTGAACTAGAACATCCTTCACACTTCTTTGCCAAAGAGTGAAACTTGTAGTTCCATTAAACGATTGAATTGGAAACTGTATAGTTCCAAACCCCATGGTATACTACCACCCACTCAATTCAAATAATTAACCAAAACCCTAACGGAGTTTTAATACCACTTGTTAAGGTATCAGGCCAACTATTTGAAAAAGAAAATACCAACAATTTAATAGAAAAAATATCTAGTATGAACAATGAACAACACACAAGAATTAACGTGATTCGGCTTAATCGCCAAGCCTACGTCCACGGAGAGGAAAACTTGTTCTTATTATGAGAAAAAACACCACAAGATTACAACTTGATTCCTAAACCCTAACTCTTGTATAACCCTCTCACCCACTAACAACTCTCTCATTCCTTTCTTGTGTCTTTGTAGTATGTCAATTTACCTATTTATAGAGAACATTATTTGGCCAAAAAAATCAAATAACAATTGGAAACCAATACTAATTCCTAAACTCATATAGAGTAGGAAATAACATCTAATTCTAAACCAAATAGGACTTTACTTGACTATTATTTCAAGTAACTAAAATCTAAATAGGAAACTAGTTACTTTTCACACCAAATAAAGATTTTGACTAAAAGAAATTAAGCCAATTTCCAAACAAAAATAACATCACAACTACTCTATCCCCATTTCATTTACTTCTTTCAGTCCCCCTCCTCAAAAGGCCATTGACTTCTATGTTCTTTGCTAATATCACACAGATTAGAGAGCAATTCTTCCTCTTGTAGGAATACAAAAGTGAGATGGATGATGTTTTGCTTAATGTTGTTATAGAGGGAGTTCTGAATAAGTTAATTTCACTTGTGGCTGAAGAGATCAACATAGTGTGGGGTGTCAAGGAAGATCTTGAAAGTTTAGCTCGAAATCTGGAGATGATTCAAGCTTTGCTGGTTGATGCTGAATGCCAACATAACAGTAACAAAGCTGTTGAAATTTGGCTTAGAGGGCTCCAGGATGTGTCGTCCGAGGCTGATAACTTGCTAGAAGAGTTTGCATATGAAGTTCTTCGCAACAAGTTGAAGAAGAGCAAGGTTTGTAGCTTCTTTTCTTGGTCATATCCGCTCGCATTCCGTTTCAAATTTGCTCACAAGATTAAGAACATGAACTTGAGCATAGAGAAAGTTTATCAGGAAGCGGAAAGGATTCGACTTAGGCCGGTCGAGTTAGTTAACATGTCTAACAATCCCAGAAGTGATCGATCTAGTGCTACTGATCCTTTTGTTGATGATTCCAGTATTGTGGGAAGGAGTGAGGTAGTGAACAAGGTTGTAAACTTTTTAACTTCTTCAGAGAAGGATGGTAATAACTTATCAGTTATTGGTATAGTTGGGATGGCTGGTTTGGGCAAGACAACGATTGCTCAGCTAGTCTACAAAAATGAAAAGGTGCTGAGGCATTTTGATCAAAAATTGTGGATCCACGTGTCAGAAGATTTCAATGTTGAAAGACTCTTAAATAAGATGGTAGAGTCTCTTACAGGAACCAGCCCTAATCTGACAGTTGCAGAGGCAATTGTAAGAAAGCTTAACGAGGTACTTAAAACTAAAAGATTCTTGCTTGTATTGGATGATGTTTGGAATGAAGATGAAGAGAAATGGGATAGAATGAGGGAGTGTTTGCGAGGGATAGGTGGATCAGACGAAAGCAGGATAATCGTGACAACTCGAAATGAGACAGTTGTTTCAATCATGCGAGCATCTTTTACCTGTCAATTGGGAACACTTTCTGCTGGTGACAGCTGGGAATTGTTTGAGAAAATAGCATTTGGTCACGGTTGTGCAGCAGTAAAGACTCCTGAATTGATAAATATAGGAAGAAAAATTGTTGCTAAGTGCGGTGGTGTGCCATTGGCAGTAAAGGCAATAGGAGGTTTGTTGTACTCCAAAAAGGATGAACGTGAGTGGTCAAAAATAGAAAATAGTGAAACCTGGGCTACAATGGAAGAAGCTGGAAGAAGAGTCAGATCCGCTATAAAGTTAAGCTACGATCATTTGCCTTCATTGTCGTTGAAACAATGTCTTTCATATTGTACTATAATGGGAAAGGGTGGCGTTGCAACAGTGGAAAGCATGATACAACTTTGGATGGCACAGGGATTGCTTAATCCTTCCAAGGGAAGTCACCTGGAAATGGAGGATGTTGGAACTAACTACATGAGTATTTTGGTCCGGACTTCTTTGTTGCAAGTTTCCGAGAAGGATGGGTTTGGAAGAACTATAAAATTCACTATTCACGATCTTGTGTATGACTTTGTTGAAGAAGCAGCTAAAGAGTCCATTTTCTTGGTTCCCTCGGTTGAACTTAGAACCGGTAGGGAAAGTCTTTTAAAGCCGCGAACTTTGATTTTGAGCGATGGCCTTGCACATGATTTGCCGATCGTTCGTAAAAGCCTTCGAGTCTTAGTTCTTGAAGATGAAGATGTTAAGGAATTGCCAACCACGATTGGAAAGTTGAAGCGTTTAAGATATCTTGACATCTCCAGGACTTCAATAACAGAACTCCCAAATCCCATTACACAGTTGTACAATTTGCAAACAATGAGACTGAGTAATCTGCAACAGCTTCCCAAAAATTTTGGAAATTTGGCTAACCTGAGACATTTGTGCATTGGAAAAGATGGAATCATCAACGGCAAGCCGTGTTTGCTTCCTGATATAGGGCAATTGAGTTCTCTTCAGACATTGCCTTTCTTCTATGTATGTCAAGATAAGGGATGTCAAATTGATCAGTTGGGGCATTTGCACAATCTCAGGGGCGACCTCAAGATCTTTGATCTCCAGAATGTTAGCAACCAAGAGGAAGCAATCAAAGCAAAAATATCCACAAAGATAAACCTTGATAGTTTGGAACTTCACTGGGATACTAGGACTAGAGACGAATCCACTGATGAGGATGTTTTGAAAGGTCTTGAACCTCACCCAAATTTGAAAGGTTTCACAATGGAAAACTTTATGGGCCGAAGCCTTCCACCGTGGATGCTGACCACAAGCCATCCTTTGGTCTTTCGCAATCTTGTGAAGATCGTGCTGAGGAACTTCAACAAGTGTCAGCAAATTTCACCACTTTGGCACCTCCCTCACCTCAATATTGTCAACATAATTGGAATGGAAAGTGTAATTTGCATCGGCACTGATTTCTTCGGTTGGAAAAATGTTGATGATGCAAGTAGCAATCCAAGTGGCCTAGCAGGGGATGCTGTGGTTTCATTTCCGGCACTGAAAGAACTAATTCTGGAGGATATGCCTGGTTTGAAAGAGTGGTCAGGTTTGATGTGCCACGATTCATCACATTCATTAGTCAAGATATTCCCTTCTTTGGAGATTTTAAGAGCCAAGATCTGTCCCAAATTGGTAAGCCTGCCAGATGGTGTTTGGCACAACCTTAGATGCATTAAAGAACTATGGATTTCAGATTGCGATAGTTTAAGTCATCTACCAAAGGACGTGGGAGGATTGGCATCTCTTGAGATTCTAACAGTAATGTCTTGCCCCAATCTTGTTTCCATTCCAGATATTCATTCCCTACGATCTCTAGTTCAGCTGACCCTTGCGGGATGCAACAACTTGCGCTCACTACCAAGTGGAATAGAAGTCTGTACATCAATCAGGCGGTTTGGATTATTGGAGTGCCCTGCTATTCAACCAGAGGATTTGCATCATCTGTCGAGGATGATTCAACTACAAGAATTGGTGCTAGGCGATTTTTCTTATGATCTTGATTATTTCCCCTGGCCCAGCTACGCCATTAATCCTTGCAGAGTTTCTATTACCGATTATGAAAACAAAGAATTCCAACATCCTTTTGCCTCGTTGGCGTCTCTTGTATTATATGGTTGGCAAGCAGTCACATCCCTGCCGGAGCAGATTCAGCATCTCTCCAACTTGTCCTTTTTAAGGATAGAGCATTTTGACGGGGTCGTGGCTCTGCCAGAGTTCTTGGGTAGAATCCTTTCACTCGAAGAACTGCACATTGAAGACTGCCAAAATCTGTTGTATTTGCCTTCTGCTGAGGCAATGCGTCACCTCATCAAATTAAGGAAATTGACAATTGAAGAATGTCCCCGTCTCAAGGACAGATGCAAGAAAGAGATAGGCCAAGAATGGGACAAGATTGCTCATATTCCAGAAATTCAGCTGCTGCCATGAACATGTGCAATGCATCGCCTCATCTTACTTTGCTTAATACAGCAACTACATGCACGTAAGTTTCAGCAACTACATGCTGTTTATATGAAAGTTTCCTAGATACAAGTCTCCCTTTTGCATTTCTTGCTGAATTGTCGTAAGTCTTCCGACGATATCCATGGCTACTCAAAGCTCTTCTAAAAGTGATTTCCTTAATCTCCACTCTGCTATAGACTGCTTTTAACAAGACTAAAGGTAGAATTTACAACTAATGTATAGATAATGCATTAAACCGCATATTCTAGTTGGTTCCGATTGAATACTATCCACGCCTTCATCACAAACTTAGTATCACATCTAATGCTGTATTTTCCGTTTTGACATACCACATACTGGTTCATTACGTGTCCCTGCTCTAGAAAGAAGTAAAGCCATATAATAAGATATAATATTGAATAAATCCCCTGTTAATTCCATGTTGAGATGCCTTGAATTAGATCTTCGACCTTCGCTGAGCTGTTCGGGGGTTTTGCTTACGGTATATATTAGTTACCGTGTCTGTTTTATTTCGGGTCTTGTTTTGAGCCTATTTTTGGGTCCAGTCCGTTTGGTTGTATATATATACACCTTTTTTTAGTCTGTAAACTATTCCGATTACAACTCTAATAAAATTTGATTTCCCCCAAGTTGTTCTTGTCTGTTCTTGTTTTGTTCTTTCTGTTCCGCTGCATCTGTTATAACATTCCAACCCATTGCAGATTTCAGTCTCCATTTCCAAAGGGATAAGAAACCCACCAATATTTATTTCAGAGAAGAAAAGGGTTGTTTTCTTTCTGGGGAGAGGATTTCAGAAAATGGCAGAGGAAGAAGTGAGCAATAAGCAAGTTATACTGAAGAATTATGTCAGTGGTTTCCCAAAAGAGAGTGATATGGAGGTGAAAACGACTGCTTTGAAGTTGAAGCTTCCGGATGGCGGCGATTATTCAGCGGCAATCTTGGTGAAGAATCTGTATTTGTCTTGTGATCCTTATATGAGATCCCGCATGCGCAAGCTTGAAGGTCATTATGCTGAGGCCTACACTCCTGGCTCTGTAAGTCAGTTTCTGTGAACATGTGTACGTTTTGTGTTTCTCTCTTCTTCTTTTTTGTTGGTTTAAACTGGAGTGGTTAATGGATGTTTAATCAGTACATGCAATTGTAGTGCTAAAGATAGAGTGACATTTGGATTTCCAGACCTTTTTTTTTTTTTTTTTTTTTTTTTTAGGCGTCATGAAGAATTTTTATGTAGAGATAGTCTGCATGAGTGGAAATTCGAATTTTTCATTTGTGAATTTTATGTTATGTTGCTTAATTGGTGTTAATCTGAACATCTGCGGCTTGCTCGCTTTTATGGTTGATTTTGAAGTATTCACTTGACTCTGAAGTCATGAAACAGTCAAAAGTTTTTATTTTTGTACAGTTAAATAAGATCATATGAGAATTCTGACTTGCATGTGTATATCTAGAATATGTAATTATGTTTGACCTGGTTAGCAGTTGACCTTGATTCATCTTTCTGTGAAGAAATGAAACTCAAAAGTAGATTGAAACCTAGATGTTCCGGAATTTCATTCTTTTTTCTTTTTTTTTTTTGATAAAATAAATCTGGTGGTCAAGAGCATGTGGGCCTTTATGGTTTTCTGCATCACATGGAAAATGATGGAGCAAATATATTCAAAGAACAGTTTGTTCAGTGTTGGAGTAAGTTAACTATTTGGGAATCTCCAGAGTATTAATTTAAGAGAAGGATGCACTTTGATTTATAACTCTACATGACAGTAGAAAGCATTATAACTCCAAAGAGTAATGTTGACAATGTGTAGTGATTTCACAAAGAACATTCACTGGTTGCCTGATTATGCTTTTCTTTTTCAGTACACATGTCAAAGAATTCAATTTTGGAAACATTTTTCTATGTTTTCCACAGTGGCTTTGCTTATCATTTGGCTGGAGAACCAATAGATTGAAGTTGGTTTTTTCTCTGTTCATTGTTACTTATTGCAGTCCCATAAATGGTTGTCTACTTGAGATAAGTCCCATGACTTTGGATATAACATAATAGGTGTAATACATGTAGTTGTTTATGGTGCAATTGAAGGGGCAGAAGTTTTGCTTTTCATGAGTAGACTCAAGTCAAATTCATAACTTGATACTGATTCACTTTGTAGCCTATAGTGGGTCTTGGAGTGGCTAGAGTTTTGGAGTCAAACAATCCAAAATTCAGCAAGGGTGATCTGCTGTGGGGATTGACTCGCTGGGAAGAATACAGTGTAATTGCTGATCCTGAGACTCGCTTTAAAATTCACAACACTGATGTGCCTCTGTCCTACTATACAGGAATCCTCGGTCAGTGCCTCTGTCTGATTAGGTTTCCATCACAGTACACCAGTATAGAAGTTACTTCCTTTTCTTATTGGAGATTTCCAGCATTTGATGTTTGTTACCTTTAAAAGCTTTGTGTGGAACTTTAATAAGCTTTAGCAGTCTGATTGAAGCACTTTACAGTTGTTTGCTATGGTAGGAATGGGATATACATCCTTTATGTATAGTGAGCTTTACATGATGTAAGATCTGCTATTAAGCGAACTGCCATCAGAGAGTGATGAGGAATTAGGTCCATTAGTTAATTGCTTGAGTCTTTTATTTATGAATAGTTTGACTTCTTCCTTGAACCTCTTCATCTGATTTAGATGCTACTACAATGCCATATGCTTGTATCTCTTGCCACCACCTGATGCTAATTTTCTGGACCTGATCTTCTATGTTTTTACCATTACTGGTGTTTCTAACGTTACCTTATTTGGAATTTCTGGGACATTCTTCAAGGATGGGATAAAGAAATATGTTTTATTTACCTCAAGCAACTGAATGTGGCTGCCCAACCTTTTACTATGATGCTTCCAGTGTTATATCCTTACCAGTTTTCCATCATGGCTCCTAATTTTTTAAGACCCCCCCCCCCTTCAATTGTTCTGCTTTGCTAACAGGTATGCCTGGCATGACTGCTTATGCTGGTTTTTTTGAGATTTGTTCTCCGAAGAAGGGAGAGCGTGTATTCATTTCAGCAGCTTCTGGAGCTGTTGGTCAGCTTGTTGGACAGTTTGCAAAGGCTTTTGGTTGTTATGTCATTGGAAGTGCTGGAACCAAAGAAAAGGTAATCTCTTAAGACATCTGCATGGTCAAATTTCCTCTTTTTTGGGTTCAAGAAAGCAAGCCCGCACTTCGTTTGCTGCCGTTTAGATCATTGGAAACCTTGTATCAGTTTCAGTGAGAACTTTATTCATGTTTCTGTTGAAATGGATTCATATAAGATTGTGTGGGTATCTTCTAGATAAACTGAATGTCAAGTCCTTTTTCTTTCCATAGACTTTCTTTGCGTACAAATTGCGACCTTTTAATTCTATAAAGAATGTTGACGGTCATTATGGGCCAGTCTTGGTGAAAGCTACTCAGAACTGATTGCTTGGATCTTCTGTTATCTGATTCCAGTGGTAGTTGTACCTATGCTTCATGAAGCACCATATATTCAGATAGCATCTATTGAGCATCTAATGATCTGTTGTACCAAAAACAAGAAAGGGAAAATTAATAAATTCACCCTTCTTACTCCAGGCATCTTGCATGATTAGCCTGAATAATGTTTGCAAGAGGAACTTTTACTTCATATTTGTTTGTTAGAACAAACACTGAGGGTACTTAAAGCTAGCCACATGATATCACTGTATTCCTATTGTTTCTTCTCTCATCTTGCTTTATCTTGTTTCTTTAAAGGTTGACTTGTTGAAGAACAAGTTTGGTTTTGATGAAGCTTTCAACTACAAAGAAGAGCAAGATCTAAATGCGGCTTTAAAAAGGTCAGTCCTAATATACTGGCTGAAAAGTTTAGATTTTAAAATCTACTTTCTGACTCCCCAAGGCAGTTTGTTCTGAGTGGCAGGGCATTCACTTAAATGAACTGTGTATATGTGTCACCTGGTACATGTGTACCTTGAGCTCGAAGCACACTTCTCCAAGTTATCAACATTCAATGCAGATCTTAATTTGCCAGCATTCATTCTTTTCTTGCATGTCATGTTGGCGCATTAGAGGAGGATGATTCTGTCACAGTCAGTTTCTTACTTTGGACTGCTCAAAGTAAATCAGCATTCCTGACTTTCTATCTTTTTTCCCTTAGGTACTTTCCAGATGGCATTGACATTTACTTTGAGAATGTCGGAGGAAAGATGCTTGATGCCGTGCTTCTCAACATGAGAGTCCACGGTCGCATTGCTGTTTGCGGATTGATCTCACAATATAACCTTGAGCAGCATGAAGGCATTCACAATCTCTTCTGCCTGATCACTAAGCGAATTAAAATGGAAGGATTTTTGGTGTTCGATTACTATCATCTCTATCCGAAATTTCTGGATATGGTTCTACCCCAGATAAAAGAAGGGAAGATAGCATATGTGGAAGACATAGCTGAAGGCCTTGAGAATGCCCCAAGCGCCCTGATAGGACTCTTCTCAGGTCGCAACGTCGGGAAGCAGGTTGTGGTGGTTGCCCGTGAATAATGTGAAACCTTTTCAAGTCTCTGTCAACTTTACTTTCCTTGGTCTTCTCTAATAATAGACAAGAATCTTTGATGATTTTGTTGTTCAAAATAACATCATTTCAGTTGTCTAATTACATCTACCTTTGATTTGCTAAATGCTCATGTGCTTCATCAGACTTATCCCTTGTAACACCTAAACACAGTTTTGCAGCATTGGAGAAAAGGATGGTTACATTAACAAAACTAAGTTGCTAGTACAATTCCCCTTCAACAAGACAAAGGTGGATGACTATTGCACAGCCAAGAAATTGCAATGCCAACTATCTCAAAAGTCAAATGCTGGTCCATTCATTATTTGATTCAGTGAGTTTAATGTGATCTATTCTGGCACAATATGTACGGATAATTAAGCTGCTGTTGACCAAGATGACATATTTTTTGCTCAACACATTTTTATAGCTAGATAATGACTTGGAAGTTTGGTGCTAAATGTGTGCCTCCTAGGCAATCTTGGAGATAAATTGGGAGCTGAAAGTGGGATACCAGAAAACCCCCCAGGAAATCTGAACCAATCAAGTATGTGGGGATCTATGGGGCTTAGCCTGTCTCATTGAAATGTTTTGAAGTGTAATTTTCTTGATAATAAAAAGGTGTTGCCCACTAATTTTTGTGTCAAAATCTTATTAAGAAAAGGCATGGTATTGATGTATTCCAGGTGTGTCGCATTTTTAAAGTGGAGGCAAGAGGACCTTCGTTAGTGTACAGGTACCAAAGCACGCCTTTATCAGTAGGAGACGCAAAAAGGTTTGAAGGCGTGATCGTTCGAGAAGTTTTTAGCTTCACGCTTTAAAAGAGATGCATGAAACACCTCCAATTTTGCACCTTTATGTGAAATAAAATGGAGAAAATAAACAATTCTGACAGCCATAGGACAAAAATAGTAACATATAGTAGTCTTCATTGCTTGAGGATCGATCCATCTCCTGTTTTACTAGCAACTGTATTTAAGAGAGCTCAATTGCTCAAACTAGCTGCAGTGTTCAAAGGGTGCCGTTGTTGGTAAAAGATGGCCAAATTTCTTCACTTTCATTGTTTGAAATTTTCAGGTACATATATAACAGGTTGCTTCTCTATATTCTTTCTGATTAATAAAACAAATCTTGGAAAACCATTTTAAGAGTTGTAGTTAAAACTTCAACTCCAGAGGGTTTCTAGTGGTCGTTAGCTCTATTTGGGCTTTCTTTTAATCTAACAAATATAGCAATTTGCTCATTTGAAAACTGGAGAACATAATTATTCTAAAATCATCTTCATAATTAATTAAATACAAAAAAGACTCTTTAGAGGCTGAGCAAATGCAATTGATCCTTAAGTGCAATTTCTAGAAAATAAACATGTGTTGCGCAATAAATTTTGAGTTAAATACCTTAAGCACTTCAAATGTCTGGTTTGATCTGAACTTACGGATTTTTGATGTGATTTCTTAGATCATTGTATCTAAAAGAAGCATGCAATGTAAGATATATGGTTCATTTTGCTAATTTTATTTCTTTGTACTTATCTTTCAAATCATCACAAACATTTTCAAGGCACCAAAAAAAATGAGGAGCAATAAGAAGAATAAAAAGATTTGGGTTTGTTTGTATAGAAGATTATTTGTGAAAAAAATCAGAAAAACTATAATGTTCTTTGTGATGTAATGTATGTGAAACAAAAAAAAAAAAAAAAAACCTAACAGAAAGATGATTAAAAAAAAAAAAGTGTTTATGATTCATTTTTTTTGCAAAAAAAAAAACCAAATTATTGATTGACAAATTAACAAGGAAATAAATTTGGCAAAAATTTTTCTTGAATACCTCCAAATACCTAGCATCATTGGTTTCTTTTTTCCCCACTAAATACATGACAAATATCTAGATTTTGGTCAAAATTTTTTTCAAAAAAAAAAAAGCCACAAAGTCCCCCCCCCCCTTCTTCCCCTCTTCCAATTAATTCTTTCCTTTTCCAATGTTAGGTTTACTTTTTTTTTTTTATCCAATGTTAGGTTTATAGTTCATATAATGTTCTACTCTTAGTTTTTCTAAGCTGCCTAATGTACCTAATGCAGCCGGAGAGAGGTTCTTTGGGTTAAAGCTTAGATTAAATCCTATTTAAGTTGCCTAAAAAAGAAGAAAAAAATAAAATCCTAACCTAAGTGCATAGAAGTCATTCAAAGATTCAGTTCAATTGACAGGTGCCGAACCTGTGCAATAATAATTACTAAAAAGTCCTAATGATATTTTGGCAACATTTCAGCCGTTGGATAAGATTTCTTTGAGTTTATCTATTGAGATCATTCTTCAATCATTCTCGTAGATGATCGATAGACTCGATTTTCAAAATGATGTGACACAATTTGAACCAGCAAATCTTTAAAAATTATGTCTATTTAAGTCTTGGCCCTTCAACAAAGAAAAGAACTGAACTTGGTTATTGGTAATTACGCCTCAGCTTCTTTGTGAGTGGTCCTCTTATCCCATTATATTTTTGTACATTTTTGTATCGAAATTAGTTACCTTTGCCTAAAAAGGAGAAGGTACCCGCTTTCTTGTGTACTTTTTCTCCCTCTGTTGCCTTAGCGGCCCACTTTCTTCTTCTCCTTTAGGAGCATGTGTGTGATTGCATTATCGCCAATTGCACAATGCATCAGCGCAAATACTACAATTAATCAGG